CTAGGCAACAGTTCCTGAATCCGCTGATTAGCCCCAATTTATTACATTTCAACAAAACGATTCTTCCTTGGTTGCAGCACCCAGACCAGTGACCTTAAGAGTCATGTTTATAAAGGACAAAACTGGCAACACAAACCCCAACAACAAGCAGCTAAGGTCAAAGGGCAACACCAAAGGCTGTGTTAGGAAGTAGTGTTATCGTTTATTTTCCTGTATATTTACATATATGCCAGATTGTGGGCTCCATGAGTGTGTTCTGCGGTTTCTACTATATAAAAATGTTATGAAAAAAGAAAATAAAAACGCCGGTGGTGAGGCGTGCCATCAACCAATTTTCTTTCCTCAATAAAAACAATCTGAAAATGAATGTTGTAAGGTCATACAATAAAACTGTGACAGGAGTGAAGAGCAGCTCAGTTTTTATTTGTGAAATTATCTAGGAAAAATATACATAATTGCACACATATTCTGCTCATTTGTATCCTCAGCTAATACAGAATTTGCTCCTTGATCATATAAAAGCTGCCACTTAACTAGGCAGATCAGTTAATACTTACTCCAGAACAGCTTATTAGTTTCCTAAATCCACTTGATTAGAATTGTCAGCTGACACACACACACAGAGAGGGGACACACACGTCACTTATGTACAGCTGCAGAGTGAGAACATGCCAGAGCATTCTGTACTCTTCACAAAGATCAGAGACTGTGGAGCTGGATGTTCCTCAATCCCCGATACCTCCCCCTGACTCTCTCTCTTTCTGTCCACCCTTCTTGTATAAAACCTATCCTCTTTTTGCAGACCATTTTCTCTCTGTCACTTTCTGTATCATTGCATACATCTACCATCTACTACAGGTATACTCCATCAAACTGATGACCTCATGAAACATGTCATTTACCTTACAAGGATATTTGCACTTGTTATTTTATGCAGCAGAACTTCTCAGATATGTTAAGAACAGCTGGCCAGCACAGACAGAGATCAGTCTGTTGCACAGCTGAGAATACACACTCTGCTACTCCATCACAATGCAAATGCCTTCAAGCTGACCCCCCCAGAGCCCTCAGTGACAAAGTGTGACATTTACATGGTTGCTGTGCTCACCAAAAAAACACAGATAATACTAAACCTACCTATGAATGTCAACAGAGATCGATCTATATACACTTTGTCATAATCTTTTGGACACACTGATTTATGACTATCTTTTTCCAAATGTCATCCTTCTTGTCTCCTAAACATGCCCTCTTCCTTTTTTGGTCCTTTTGTCTTTCACCCTCTCTGGGCCTCTTGGGACATGGAGCGACCCAGGTCTCTGGCTTCTTTGGCAAACTCCATGAGTGTTGGCTTGACAGGAGGCAGGTCTCTGGTGATCTCGTCCACGGTCCTCTTGCTGGGACAGACTCCGTCTGGGACGGTGAAGGGCTGCAGGTCCTCCTCTGTGTGTGGGGCTCCACGACCAAGCCTGATACCAAGCTCTGCAGGGGTGAAGATGGGCAGAGGGAGGGTGTTTCTCTTTGGGAGCAGCTGGTGCTCTCTCACCCCTCTTTCCACAGTGCCCACTCTCAAGACACCAGAGGGGCAGTTCTGCTTCAACACCCGGGCCTGCCACTGCCTGGACAGAGTCTCCCTCCGAGATTTGTCATTAAAATTCATTGTCTGCCTGCGGACATCAGAAAAAAAGTTAGAAACTCAATAGATTTACATTAGACATCAAAGAAACCGAGAAATATTTTGTGTATTGATTAGTGAGCTCTCACCTTTCTTCAGGTTGAGTCTTGAGACTGACACTATGCCAGTCAGCGCTGTAGCTCTCCCTTTGAGCCTTGTTCTCCTCTTGTACACTGCAGCTCAGCTTAGCTCCCACCACCACGCCGTTACGCTTCTCCAGGACAGTACAGATCGGAATCATTTCTGCTGTGGCGAGGTCTGTCTCAGGTAAATCACCTCTGATTGGTCTTGTTGATCAGTCTTTAGGGTCTGCTAGCAGTCCTGTGATGAGGCTGTTCGTTTGAAGAAGCAGGGATGCTCCAGCTGGCACTCTCTCTTACTCTTCTTGCGCTGCCTCTGTCTGGGCTTGGATCTGTCCACAGCTTTTATAGATGTTCTGTTTCTATTTCTGATCCATGTTGTCACTCTACAATCAGCGTGTGCTGACATCTGACACCAAGTTCTCCGTGTCTCATTCCCGAGAGCTGGAAGCCACTCTGAGGAGGGGTGGAGGGTAAATGGGTGGAAAATCCCCTGATTCTCAAACTGTATGCCAGGTCACCTCTGTAATCCCTCTGCACATCACTTTCCACTTCAGCTAGGATCAAAGTATCTTAGAGATGAAAGTTTGTTTTGTGATTACATAAACATGCACACAGACATATAACGGCTTTAGACTAAGACAGAATCTTAATACGGATAGGGTTGAGAGCGGAGAGAGGCATCCCGCTAACATGGAAAGCTAACAATGTCACAGGAGTTTCATAAACATAGGATATTTCAGGCATGAAGGTCAAGGAAGGGAAATAAAACATCAGACGGTAAAAAAGGTGACAAGCTACAGAACTTTATGGAGTCTCACGATGAATTTAAATCCTAATTCAGTTCAGAAGGAGTTTATATAACAGCATAGCCTTGTGAAAACATCAAACCCCCTCATTAGATGCCATTACAGAGCTCTGCCTCACAGTAGCAGTGAGAGCTGCATCCCCAGTGATTCATTATCTCGGTGACAGAGCGCCGCGCAGGCCATAATCAACTCTGGTTACAGGCTGCGAAACACACCGCACACACAACTCACCTCGGACAGGTGTGGGGTTACCACCAGTTCCTGGTCTGACTCATTCATCCGCATCAGGAAGGGGCATCAGCGTATACCGAAATCAGATATGACACACAGAGCAAAAAGTTTCATGCCACTTAATGACACGGGAGCCTGAGAATTCACACTGTCTTCAAATGTGTTTATTATTAGTTTCACGTGTACTAAATCTGTGCCAAATGATGACATGAAATGTTTGGCTGTTTCATTGCTGATATTTTTTATAGCTAAAATAATTCAGTTTCTTTCTATTTCCTATACCCATCATATTTTATGAAACATCTAAATGCTATTTTCTGTCTTCTTGTGAAGTAAATCTTCAACCTGTCAGTCTTCAGTTTAATTTATGTACATATTCAGCAGGATGACAATGTAGGGAACACCCATCCCACCCCCTCCCCACCGGATCGTTGGTTGATGGCCTGCCAGAACAACCCCACCGGATTGTTGATGGACGGTCTGCCTCCCCCCACCCCCTTGCTCCCTATCCCTCTTCCTGCATCTTATCCCATCTCTCCCCCTATCCCTTTCCAACCCCGGCGCAGTCTAGGCCTGTGAAGGCTGTTTCGTCATGAGCCGGGGTTCCGGCCGAAGATTTCTGCCTTTTAATAAGGCAGTTTTTTCTTACCACTGTAACTTTTGGGGTGGCAGTAGCTCAGTCTGTAGGGACTTGGGTTGGGAACCAGAGGGTCACCAGCTCAAGTCCCAGTGTGGACCAAGCATGGAAGTTGGTCTGGTAGCTGGAGATGTGCCAGATCACCTCCTGAGCACTGGTTGGTGCCCTTGAGCAACATGTCTTTATAATATATTTTTGTAACATAACAATGAGTAAGGTCTTTTACCTGCTTTTTGTAAAGTGTCTCGAGATAACACTTGTTATGAGTTGACGCTATACAAAATAAATTGAATTGAATTGAATTGAACACAAAGAGCAAGAACACTGGGGGCATCTTTGGGGGTCATGTGTTCACTCATTTTATTATCGACCTCCATGAGGGCAGCCGGGTTCAAGTCCGACCTGGGGCTCCACTCTCTCTCCCCCGGTTTCCTACTCTATCCAGTGTCTTCTCAAATAAAAGCAAAAAGCCTTGAAAAAAAAAAAGAAAAGAAGAAAAAAATAGAAGAATCCTATTAAGTCAGTATACAAAGTCCTTCAGTGTTGAGATCATTTCTTTGAATTGATGACTCAGAGCAATCAGGCTATAAAGTTGTTGTTTTTTAATCACCCGAAACTACAAGAGGACATCAGATAGATGAGTCATTTGGTGCTAATGAAGGCAGTGGTGCAGATGATCTGCAGAGGTAAACAGTGAGGAGGTTGGCTCTGTGACCCCCCCCCCCCCCCCAATTCCCTCCACCTGCACCAAGCGCAGCCCGGCCAGGAAGAACTATGTGTTGCGTAACAACACTGCCACAGCTGCTGAGAAGTGACATTAAATGAGCTGTCAACAAGAAAGGGACTGGGAGTGGGAGGGAGATTGTAGGATGAAGCCAGGGCCTGCCTCTGGGTGGTAAATATGGCAAAATATTGTGATTGAGCAATTTAAAGTCAGTCTTTTTTTTTTTCTTATAAGGAGGGAATGAATTTGGCAGGTCAGATATAGGAGCCTCCTACACAGGTCACCCTGACACAAAGTGCACATTCATTCCATTGATTCCTGCATGCAGTCTTCAACTTGACAATAAACATAATTAATTCCTTATGTTGCAACCACTGAGTTAAGTGTAACCAGAAATGTGTTTTTGCCAGGTGCTGTGTTTAAACATGTGCCTTCATAACCACTTAAGAGTATCAACAACAAAAAGCAGCTGACCACCGAAACACCATCCACACCAGATCCATCTTGATACCTGGTCTGGTCCCAGTGGGACGATCAGACACCAGACAGACTGCACCAGGCAGAGATTTGTTGTATATTTGCAGATCAGAGCGTGAGCCAGGCATGGGTCCACAGCCGGCAGGCCACATGACAGAAAACACATCAGACAGGAGCAGCCTTATATTTCACTTAAAAGGAATTTTGTTCTTGTGTCACATTTTCAGTGGAGTCACTGCTCAATTCTCACTCAACAGCGAATTCTTTTTTTTTAGTTTAGGATTGTAGAAAGTCATGCAATTTCTTTTACTCTTTGTTGTTGGAATGTTTTTGTTTTTTTATTAACTCAGAAGTTATTTTTACACTCAACAGTCTGTAGGCTTTATTTCATCCTCAACTGGACCCCACAACACATACTCGTACATTACCTCAGTCATACAAAGAAAGTCAAGTTCAACATACAGTACCCACTACATTGCTTTTCCATCAGCTATTTCTTTTAAACATTTAAATCCAAATGCAGACTTTAATGGAGTACATGTGCACACACATGTGCTGGTGAAAAACTGACAACAGATTACTGGGCTATTTATTCACTGTTTTTATGGTCATGTGATTGAACCAGATGCATGCTGATCATCACAGGACAAATTATAAAAAGGCTCTGCTCAAAGGAACATCACTACCCTGAAGGTTCACAACAGCTGAACAATGATTAGGGTAAGAATTTGATAAATATTGTGTAGACCGAAATAAAAAAAAGGCCTCAGACAGAGAACTTCTTTAAAAATGTTTACCTGAGGATCTGCTTAGCACTTCTAGATTTTCACAAAGAAAACAGAGCACGACTCAAGCTGTGCATTTGGGGGGAAAGAGGAAGAATAAGTCAGCTTTAAACTTCCAAAAAGCATGAGCAAATATAAATGGGAAAGTGACATCGAAGGATAAGAGCCATGTAATTCTGTCAAGGTCTCTAAGGTTGATAACTACTGCCCCCTGTTTGTGTCCATTCTAACTGCATCCAGTAAATCTTAGGATCTGTCACTGAAGTTTCCATCCTCTATTTCGCTTTCATCCTCACCGTCTTCATCATCTCGTCCGTTCATGGCTTGTTCTACTCTGGCCAGCAGCAGTGGCAGGTTTATGGAAAGGCCAGGGGTCTCCTCATCAGAACCATCAGTTGGAGGAAAGAAGCGCTTTGCCTTTGCCAGAAAATCTTCAGCGATATCTAGGTATATGAGGCGGTCCTGTGAAGAGGTACAGAAGAAGACGTTGAAGCAGTAAATGAACTTTTACACGTTGTAGTTTGCTGTAACTGTTGTGACTAATGTCCTCTTGCATGTTGTGTTTGGGTTTTTGTCCTCTTATGTCATTCAAACTTCCCATTTAGGGATAATAAAGATCTGATCTATTGGTATGTGATCTGAAACTCTTTGTTTTTACCACTTATAATTATAACAAACAGCGGAGAGATAATCAGAATCCTCAAAATGTAACACACATCAAATCCACACCTATCTAAACAGAGATCTACACAATATAAGAGGCCCTAATCCTTCACTTCTGATCTACAGAACAATCTCAAAATAATTGGTAGCTTGGTTTAATTTGGCAATTTTGTAATATTGCCAAATTAAAACATGGACAACTTGACAAGACTGCTGAAAGGAGTTCAGGAGGGAACCCCAATTGTCGCTTTGTCTAACTTAGCGGGATTAGTAAGAGTTCAGGATTCATTTGAGCTCAAACCCCCGGTCTCACCAGGATGAATAGATATCTCTCTGGCGGTGGCTCCCCGCTGAAGAAGATAGAGGTCTCAGTATGAAGTGCCTGCAGCATGGCACGTGCTGCAGGGGCGTTACGCATGCGGTCATGTGATGCCCCAGCAGACACCGTCAGCAGGGATTCTGCCTCCGTCATGAAACCTGGACAACAAGGCAACTATTAGAATGTATGCATTCTGTATTTATAAGTAACAGTTTATCCCCCCCCCACTCCCCTCTTATCCCACGTTACCCAAATTCTCCAAGATTGTCTTCCATTTCTCTCTGACTTCTCGACGAGTATCTCTCATGGCCTCGATGTCCACACTCAGACGGCGATAGCCCTAAACAAAAACAAAAAAAAAACCCCAATGATTTCAGCCTGGGGTTATAGGAGAGGCTGTTCTACATTATGCTCTTTTTCCAGGATAATTCCATGATTGTCCTGCTGACTCATGGTTGTTGGAATGACTGATCATGATAATTAAAAACTTTAGATTACTTATGATTGTTTTTTTCTGTCAACCACACTTACTTGACATTTTTGCACTCCATCTTAATACATTTCATCATTCTTTGCGCCAGCTAGCATCCCCTGGAGTTTCCTCCATTGCTGCGCAAGTTGTATGCTTTTTTTCTTATTAACTTCAGGTAAACGTCAAAAGACTTCATGCTGTAAATTAGAATGACACACCGTTGATCCCATGCGGGTCTTGGTCCTGGCCTGCAGCAGGCCGTAAAGGACCCGGTCATCGTCTCTCTCCGAGTGGCTGCGGTCTCCTGGCGTACTCCACAAGTTGGTCTCCTCATCGCGTCGCTTCTGGACCTCACGGTTAAAATACTCCAACGGATCCTGACTGTGTGAGCCATCAGACACAGGCACCCAGAAGCACAGTTAGTACACATTTAATATTGATCAATTGTGAAAAGAAAAACATAGGAAATACACTAAGGGCATTTTTTGTTGCATTATATAATAATTCTGGACTTATGTTCTTACGGTACTAAAGGTTGCTTTTCTTCTTCATCGTCTTCATCAGCAGCACAGCAGCAGCAGCAGCAGAACTGCATGCAAAACCTCTTAAAGGCTGAACCCATCTGTCCAGAGTCTGCAGGTAGTAAGTGTTCACAAGAGCAAATAATCCAAGAAGAAGAAAAAAAAAAAAAAAAAAAGTCAGAAAAAGTTACAAAAAGCAAGTCACTGATTCCCACAGTCTACCTAATTTTCAGCTTCACATCGTTCAGGACTCCACTGCTTCTCCACATCCAGTGGAAGTTTGTCCTCTAGAAAACAGGCAGAGACAGTCTGTCCTGGAGAAGTTCAGGCGGACAGCGGCCCCCGAGGATTAGTGCCGCTCATCAGCTGAAAATGAAGGAAAATGAGAGCAGTGAGAAGCTTGCTGGCCCAGCCAATGAAGAAAACACACACAAATATTCACACAAGCATACGCTCAGAAGACAGTCACAGCACAATCATGTGAGCAGCTCCAGCGTTGTGTTTTGCCCTGGGGACAACTAATGACCTCTTCAACAGTAGGTCTAATTACACAATGAGGAGCCAATGTAGCATGCCTGTTTTCATTTCAGGGCCAATTACTTCCCTTGTATGTGGCATCCGAGATGACTTCAACATGAGTCTGCATCGTGAACGTTGATGTTGTGGAATAATAATGTCTGATGTGGAGGATGCCTCAGACACTAATAGAAAGCCTAGTGCTAGACAGATGTGTTGGGCCTTTTTGTTAAGAGTAAGGCTACCACACGTGTCAAAGGTCTCTAGTCACAGGGTGTGTGATTGTTCAAGACATACTGTAAAATCTCCCATGATACAAAGCTGGGAAATACATGGTGATAAAAAAAAATCACTGTGATCACTTGTTGGCTAAGAGGCATTGTATTATTTGCTAGGGCAGCTGGAGAGGGTTAAAAATAATTATACATATGTAACGTAACAGAACATTTCCAGAAAAGGATATGCTGACACATAAATGCAGGATAAAATAAATCAAAGCACAGATTGCTATGAACACATTTTATTAGACATAAGACACTGGTTAAGACTCCAAAAGCGTTGGTCAGTAGTCCTGTGTGTGATGGCTTTAGGTGAGCATGTTTGGTAAATGTTCTTTAGATGTATACATTCAAACATTTTCATGAAAAAGAACAGAAAATGAATCACAACAAGCAGGTTCTGAATGAATTCAGTATTATCTTTGCTGAATGTATTGATTAAACAGCATAAAGCAAAATGTAATGCATCTGTTGATATAAAGGCACAATATTGTTCTCATGAATTACCTTCATTTTGATATTCCCTCTTTACAGTATCGAGCTTCATTTTTCTTTTTAAAAATATAATACTTCTAACAATATGACGAGGACTCCATAAGAAGGAATCATTGCTGACTGTGATTGCAGCACCAAATAGCGGCGCTTACAAAGTCAAACTCCTCACTGCCATGAGGCCAAGTCAAGAGCGTGATGTGACGAATGACCACTGGCCACTCCTCGCATCACGTTGACAACCATCAGTAAGCTCCTTCAAAGTGTCAACTGTTCAAACATTTTTCCACGTCTTGTTTCTCAAGACTCAAAGTGTGTGGAAGAACAAGTGACTTCCTGTGGTTCAACTCAGCAGCCTAAACCCTAAGCCTTCTGTAAGCTTTATTACATGCACGATGATAAATAGTTTAATTTCTGAGGTGCAGAGTTTGGAAAAAAAGAATAATAAAAACGTTCGAGCTAGAAGCAACATTTCAAATGATTAAAAACAACTTATTGATGTGTAATTCCAAAAATGCTAGAAAAACCTCTGAAGTTGGCGTATCTCAGCGCCAGAGGGGACGAGAGTACTACAGTCAAAGAGAGCTCCATCAGTAAACAGTAAAAGCGTTTGATGACAAATCAGTTATGCTATTTTAACACAAGGACACTTAAGGTTATTGGCATCAGTGGTTATACTGTATCCTAGTTTAAAAAGATTATCATCATGTGCCTAAGCTGAGCTTGATAATTCATTTGCAACGCAGACCGACATCCTCCTGATGTGAACTCGTTTCTGATCCCATGCAAAACACAAACAGTATTCAAGACTCTCAGAAAGATTGCAACGTGTTTTTGCTGCCTGGCTTTCACTGTTTGGGTCAGTGGTGTCACACACAGCTGGTGATGAAACAGCGCGACAGTGTGACTTCTTTCCCCGTTCATCACAGTGTGTAATTAAAGGAGAGTTAACTGTGTGGACTTTTACTCATATACTCAGATTTTGCTCAGATAAAGTGTTTGTGAAGTGTAGAGTTGTTTAAAAGTAGGTGCAAATTAAGGCATATTTAAGAAGAAAAAAAAATGACAGAAAAAACGAAAACAAAACAAAAAAAAAGGCACAAAAGAAAATCCCATAGAACAAAAGCAGAGAACACAAAGGCGTACAAAGAATGCGGTATGATAAGGCTCAGAGAGACAGCTGCTTCTGTATCAAGTGAGACAAACGCCCACCCGAGAATCGCTTCCATCTTCATTCACCTTTTCTCGTTTCAGTCGTGTCTACCCAGCAACAAATGAGCTGGCATGATCAGGATCTATGGTTCTCATTGCATGCTGAGGGACACAGCACAACAATTACAGGTCCACGTAAAACCATCAATCGTCTCTGAAAACCGAATTGCTCCTCTTCTTGTGTGACTGCAGGGTGCCAAATGTATGGTCACAAGTCTCCCAATGTACAAAATGTAGTCCTCTCGGGCTACAGTTCGCTCATCCCTCCAGCTGAGAAGCGTCACATGGGTCCTGCTACACCCTTTTCTGGGTTTAGATAAAAAAAGGAAAACCTGACTAGACGTCCCTCCTGTCAAATGTGGTGGTGGGAGCGGAGGGAAGGCCGCAGCTCAGAGATCCGTTGGCGTAAATGAGTCATGAATTCAAACATGGTGGCAGCCAGACTCTGGTGGATGAGGTAGCGAGGAAGTCGGCCCTGACGAGACACAAACAGTGAGTGTTAATTGTGTGCTTTTTGCAGTTTTCTTTCACCACGTTTCATTTTAACCAGCAGGCTGAATTCCCTGAATGGAAAAAGTGGAAAGTATCTGTCTGTCAGTCAACCACACAGATTAAAACAACCAAACAAATATCCTGCTATGAAATGATTAACAGACACTTAGCAGGCAGTTCTCTTGAACTAAATCTTAATTAGTTAAGTATTCTGTGCAGATATTCTCTAGTGCCATTATCAGGCCAACATTTCCCATCAGCCTCAGTTGAACTGTTAAAGAGTGCCAATGCAAATATTAGCATTCTTAAACATGTAAGCAGACGGTGGACTTGGTTTATGTTGTAACCTCCTAGCATCAGCATGTTAGCTTTTTCTCTATGAACATGGTAGCATTTAGCCTAAAGTAGCAGTGAGCATATCTGCAGCCGAGCAGAGCTGTGAGTATGGCTACGTACTCGCCAACTTATAACATGTTTCAGGTTCTTTTTTCCTGACTGTTCTTCAAGTCGAATGTACATTCTTGGGTTTACATTGGATTCTAATTTGATCACAGATTGAATAATTATTTTTTAACCAATGTGCATCCTGCCTTTATTCACCTGAGCAAGATTCTTGTTTTAATCCTGAAGAAAAAAAAAAAACCCATCATGCTTTGCCTCCATTAACACAAAGATTGAAAGAAAAACATATAGTCGCATATACGTATCTTCTCACCTTTAAGTCCGTGTTGAGGACCCAGATGAAGGTGCAGATTGACGGGTTATTGATGGATTTGAGTACTACAAATCCTCCTGGACCGTTCTCTCCCCTGAGGCCACCAATCAGGACAGGAGAGGAGACAGAAAAGCCAGAGAAAATAAAGTAACACAACTGCAAGTCAATATGTTATTTTTCCTAATTTCCTGGATGAGAGACAAGGAGCCCAGCTACAGGCACAGACTGACCTGACATAGCGACCACATGGAGGTTTGGCGTCATGGTCGGTTGCCATGCCAGCAGACAGGTAGCAGTCCCGTTTGCGTTCCACTCGCCGAACATTAACAAAATCCCTGAAGGAGGAAAAAGATCAATCAGACAACCAATATGTGCTTGCAGTCTTGCATGCCAGAAAGAGAAAAAGGGAGAGGAAGAGGGAGAAGAGATGAGAGATAAGAGAAAGCAGCATATTGAAGAGCGCTGTACCGGGCAGACACGACTCCTCCAGCTGCTCCAGCAGAGACATCGTACGACACCAGAGTGTTGTCGTCTACTCTTTGAAGGATCTGAAGGGGAGGCGGAGAGAACTTGTTAGACTTTGGCACAACTCACCTCACAGCAGTGAAGATGTTCAAACAGACAAAGAAGAAATTAAAAGGTGAGCAAGAGCCGTCACCTGGCAGCCAGAAACAGTTCTGTTCCACTGGACCATCTTCTCTGGCTGCAGAATCACTTCCTGATACACAAGCTCAGGTGAACACTGCATCAAGGCCTGAAACACAAACAAACATCCACTCAAGAGTCAACACTACTAAAAAAAAAAAAATGACATCATGATAAGGTGGGAACATCCAGTGCAGTGTATAAGAAAGAGAGTGGTGTGAAAAAGATTTTAAAAAAAAAGTCAAAACCAAAACTTTGTGTGTTTACAATCAGTGTCCTGCTGGAAACCCCACCGTTTTTTTTTTTTTGTTCCTCTTTCGCACGACACACTGAACCATTGTTTGGACAGATGTGATTAACAGTCCTTCAAGTCAAATGGTTATTTAGTAACATTCCTGTCTTGTGTAACACGGCGGTCATTTGCTGAAAGTGCAGCTCAGTGAGTCATTACTAATGTAAATGACCGTGGCTCTGAATGTTGTGGTGAAGTGAGTGAAAGGAAAATGGAAACATTATGGAAAAGAAGCTCTGTCACAAACAAGTGGTTGATGATGCTTTTTAAAAGCAAATGTGAAAGGTTTAATTAAGTGTCATGAAATTATTATTTACAGAGTTCTCTTCATTCAATTATAACCATTTTCAGCTCAAAATCGAATTTTATGAACATGTCATGATCTCATACCACTCACATCAATAATGCTACACACTGTGTGTGTTTTTAATTTTAATAACAATAACTCTTTCCACAAGTGGAAGTGTAATACCTTGTATTATTCTATTATTGTATTTTTTCACCTTTTATTTAACGGATGTAAATATGTTTGATTTTTAACTTCTTGTTATTTTTAATAATTATATTCCTGCTTTCTAGAGCTGTTGTAACACAAACATTTCCCCCATGGTCATTTTTGTACACGTCAGTAATGTGGCTTTTCGATGACAGCAGAGTTGTCGTGCCCCCTGACCTTTCAGCCAATCACTTTCCCGGCCACCTAGCTAGCTTCTTGACGTTAGCATGAATCACTGAGCCTGCAGTCCTGCTATCGCTGAAATAGATCTGTGTGTTAAACTGAGGGAGAACTCGTCAACACACAAGCCTTTTTACAATAATATGAGGCTGTGTTTGTTGAACTCCACAAGTTACAGCTGGAAACTGGAAAAAATCCGAGGTCCCAAAACGCCCTTTGTTATAAAGCATCCTGTAAAATGCAGACTTCCTCTAAAGTCAGTTCTGGGAAATTAAAGAGGCCCCAAAAAAATGTTGCTAGTTTACTTTCTCTAGCTTAATTATTTACTTGCCTTACTAGACGATTTTAAATAAACTTAACTGTCTTTTAACAGACGTTTTAAAGGACTGTGAAAGCTGCACTATTATACAGCCCGGCCTTCTCATCAATCAATACATCTCAATGAATCCTCACATGTGAGCGACTGCAACATGTGTACCAAAGAGAAATAACTGCAGTGTAGTGAGTCTGA